TCATATCCATTTGTTGGTCTGTGTTTTAAAATAGAGTGAACAGCCACCAGATGGTGTATATCGTTACATAAGATCTAAAGAGAGATTACAGACAACAAGAGGCCATTTGACACATCTAGTTCATTTAGTAGCTAGTAGTTAATTGATTCAAGAATCAGATCCAGACAGTGGAAGAAAGCCAGGGTTACATCTTTGAAAACTCTGCGTTGTAAGTGGAAAAATACAACCTCCGGGATAACACTATCCAGAAAAGTAGCACAGACCCAGCCAAAGACGTTAACTATTCACATTTCAGGAGCCAAGCAGGCAGAGGTTCTATGGTACTGTAACACCATGGAAATGAGCTGAGTTTAGAATGCGTTTCCCCTGAAAAGTTACAAGGTAGGCAGGTATTATAGTGAGTCAGCACCTTTACAAAAAACTTTAGGGCTTAAATCTTGACGCACGTGTGCCCTGTAACTTACATTTGTACAGAGACGCTTGTGCACAAGGATTTCCCAGGATGATGCAGACAGTTGGAAGAATGAGGCAGGGAGGGGGTAGTGAGAGTAATGTGGAGAGGGCAGCACAAAGATAAGATCACCTTATTGGCCCTATACAATTTCTTGTATTGGGAACTTGTCTTTTTTTCACATACCACAACGTGGAGCTAACATAACATCACGTTATTGGCCTTATTACAATTTCTTGCATTAGGACTTTGTCTTTTCGCATACCCCAGCTTGCTCTCCATGAGACACACAGACAGGGAGAGAAGCTGGGGGTCAGAGCGCAGGGTCAGCCTGTACAGCGCCCCTGGAGCAGCTGAGGTTAAGGGTCTTGCTCAGGGGCCCAACAGAGTAGGATTCCTCTGCTGGCCGCGGGATATGATCCGGTAACCTTCCAGCTACAGGTCCAGATCCTGAGTCACGGAGCCACAGGTTGTGCTCCAGACAGTGTTCTCAAGAGTTTCTTTGTGCTTTTGATCTTTCTGAAATCTCCCTTAGCAAGACAAGCTTGTGCCTAGCGTAGAGTGGACAGGGAGTGTGTACTGTACAGGCCTGGTTTGCATTTTTCTTAAAAGCCCTCATATTTGGTCTGTGATGCAATTAAAAAAGCACCAGTTAATCAAGATTTGAGTTTTATCATTTTGGGAGGGGGGGGGGGAGGGGTTATGAAAAATGCAAGCTTCGGGCTGATGTATATTATTTGAGATGACTGCAATAAATATATATTCATTTGAACAGCTGGGTCCTGTTTTGGTTACCTTTTAGTTTTCATTACTTTATTCTTGTTTTGGAAAATAGAAAAGGAGACAACTGTAAATAAAGCATGAAGCAAAGCATATGTGTATACTGTAAATGTACTTATTTCTGAGAATTTAAAGAATCCAACATTAAGAAAAAAAACAATATAATGGATAATAATGTTTCTGTCTTAGCAAAGTACCTACAGTACCTGACTTCACCTCTGGCCAAAGGTTGAAGTTTCCCATTTAATTTATTTGCAGTGGATTGGGCTGTTTTACCATAGTTTACCACTGTGAAATACAGGAGAAACATCTGAAACTAAAAAAAACAGTAGCAACAAATTACGTATTTTGAATTAATGTACAAATATCCAGATGGCGTGTCATTTAAATTCTGAAACTCTGTTTCATTTTCATAACGCATAATAATCCTGTTCTGTTACAGCTTGCAAATGACCTTGTCCACCGTTGTGATGGCAGAGGTGTTACGTTGGCTTGTGTGCGCGGCCCTTCTGCACCAGCCAGTGCTGATAGCGTTTGTTGCCATGGCAACAGAGCGTGCCTTAGGCTGGGTGGCGCTGCTGCGTTGACATTGCTGATTCCGTGTCTGCGCACCGCAAGACGTGACACGAGGCTTTCAAACCCGTGTTTACACACTAACGTGACAGAGCATTGCCGTATTGAAATGTTCCTTTCTAGCACCTTTATGGCCCTGTTTGTCCTACTTGTCCTGGGTCCAGATATCAGCCTTCGACAGGACTTTTCTCCTCAGACTTTCTATTTTGCAGAAGCACAAGCTGCTACACAAAACTTGCGTTTGCTCTATTTTGGTCGGTGTCGAGTCACATAACCATTTCTTCTGGGTCAAAGCTGCTGCTTGTAATTCGAGAGGGTTCTGTACGTGTTTATAATTTTAAACACCCGAAGACTCCTGTATGAGCTGTCTGTATGATTGGTGTTAATTATGTCGGTCTGTGTGAAATATACCACACTCTACTTTGTAGCAAGGGAATGTCAGAAGATCTGTGCTTTCTGCCACATACGAAGTGAATTTCACGGGAACAGTACAGTCCATAACGTCTATACTGTATGTTAAAGGTTTTTATTTTCCCAATTGGGTTGTCATTATTTGCAAATTAAAACACTACAGTACATTAAATATACTGTATAATATATAGTGTAAATCTGAAGTGGACATATTCCCAGATACTATTTCCTTTTTATGAGTATGTGTTCATGGTAACATTAAAGAGATGTGTAATGGAACTACAGAAAGCTCTGCTGTTCAGTAGTTTTTGAGCAAGAGGCAGTGGTATGCTGCATACTGTAGTACTCTGTATACTGTATGTACAGTAGGCACGGCCATGTGATTCTGGCTTACCAGTTGCAGCTTTCTGTTTTCCCAGGCTGTCTTACCTTATTTTGTTTGCCCTCTTACTGTGTTTAGGACACACAACTCAGAAGCCCCGCCTGTGAATTCCATGGCGATGATCTGATGGCGGTGCTCATGTTGCTGGGTCTGGTTCACAGCTTTGGCGCATCGTTTTCAGACTCCCTCATTAGCAGCTCAATGAAGACAGATGCTGTTGTGGTTTGAGAATAGGTGCTTCTTTTACCACTAAAGCATTACTGATGAAGCGTGTGAAAACAGACAAGTGCGACTCTGGGAAATAAGGAAGATTAAGCTCAGAGCGATAACACCTGCAAGTTCTAACAGTTATTATATAATAATTCCTCCACAGTTTTGTTAGTGAACAGTTTTATATGTCGTCCAGATGGTGGCAACACACTCTTCTTCATACCTTAAGAAACACTGCCGGAAGGAAACAAGCAGATTTCTACGGAGGCCTTGAAGGGCAGCACACACTACAAAAAGGAGGCGCACACTAGAAAAGGAGGCACACACTAGAAAAAAGAGGTGCACACTAGAAAAGGAGGCACACCAGATAAAGGAGCACACGATAGAAAAAGGAGGTGCACACTAGAAAAAGGAGGCACACACTAGAAAAGGAGGCGCACACTAGGAAAAGGAGGCACACACTAGAAAAAGGAGGTGCACACTAGAAAAGGAGACAGACTAGAAAAGGAGACACACACTAGAAAAAGGAGGTGCAAGGCAGCAATGCTAACCAGTGCACTACTGTGCCAGCCCCTTTAAACATATAAGCACTTTTCTGTCATCAATTTCTGAAGCAGTGTGCTGATCTATCATACACAAGGAATACTGTATACAGTAGTATTCTCTCCTTCCTCTAACATTCTGTCTTATGTCAGGTCACTCTGGGCTTTAACACGCATTGTTTATAGCATGTGGAAGTTTGGATACCAAAAACGTTACAGTCGTATACAGATATATAAATGTTCACAATGTAAGTTAAACAGCTCTATTTTTTAATTAACCCAGAAAAGAATGAAAACAATATATTAAACGACGAAATGAATTGAGGGTACTTGATAAATGTTTGAGATCCTGCATGTTATTCTTAAAGACCAACAGGGAAAGAAGAGCCTGAGACTCAATTCAGTCGTAAAAAGTCAGAGGTAAAAAAGTCAGAAGTCAGAAGTAAAAAAAAAAGGCAATTCTTTACATAAATTGTTTTTGGTATCCAGTACTGTTGTTTCAGCGGATTACCTGGGATTCTTTAAAAAATGGGTGTACAGGATCAATTAAAATTATAAACCAAATGGGCAAGGTATGTGGACATTTCCATTTTAATTTCAAATAACAAAACTGCTTTTTTAACATTTTATACAGGCCACACAAGTACTTTCACAGTGCTCCTTCAGAGCCCTTTCTCAATGACGAACTGATGAACTGATACAATCTCCACGGTGACAAGAGAGCCTCTTTCTACTGACACGCATTGTCCATTGATTACAGATTAGCCCTTTAGAAATTAATACAGTCTGCTTCAAGGGCCCATTTGTAATGTAGATTGAAGCAAACAAGGGATCCATTACCTTCATCAAAGGTACGCATCTCTGCTGTGGAATTCCTGGCGACCACTGGCTCTTTGCTTCATTATCTGAAACATTGGTACAGAAGGTAGATGAGACACACAACAACACAAGAAAGCCCCTCAGCCCCTGTAGCCCATTTGGTTGCTAGAACCTAATTCATCTGAAGAGCTCATCCAGCTGTTTCCTGAAAAGGTCCATATTATCAGGCAGGGTATCTTATTCCAGAAGTATTAATTTTACTGAAAGGCATTCAAAAAGCAACAAATACCATCTGATGTGCATTAATGCATCTTGGTATATTTACTGCATGTGTTGCTCTAGCTGTACAGTACTTAGATCAGATGTAATATAGAAAGCATATGAACCTTATGCTGTTTTCCTGAATTAAAAAAATATATATGGCAAGTACAAAAATACAGTAAGCATTTGATTTGATCTGTACTTTTTTCATTGACCTGAATGACAGACGCGACAGATTGGAAGTTTCCTGTTTGATGACTCGACTGCAGTGAAGCAAAGACGTTCAAATGTTATATTTTTACGTTAGCAGCCATGCCTGTTGTGCAAAATGTTCTCTCTGTGCGCTGGAGTCTGTCACTTGAGGAGTTTCGAACACACAGTGAAAGCATGGGTCTTGCAAATTAATCATCGCCGTTAATGGTTACCAGAGAAACCTTTAATCAGTTTCCAGAAGAAGTGTGACAGTGTGCTTGAAGGTGTTTATATTATTTTTTTAAATCAGTTTGCAACGCTCAAAAAGGACAGTAGCATTTTCCAATCCTTTTAATCTCTTCAGTATTTCACCAGGATAAATATTGGGCTATTCTTTCTCCAGACACAACTGTAGATTCTAAATACAATATCAGACAGTTTTCACAACAGGTCGATCTGCCGTGTACGAATGTACAACTTAAAAAGAAAAGGACGCTTTTGTGTTGTATTTGAGGTTTAACTTAAAAATAGCTCCAGGAGCTGTCAGGAATAAACCTACTGTAATAAGAATAAGAATTAAATTAGAACTAAACTAGACTTAAAAAACACAATCATTCATATAAATAAAAAAAATCATCACTAATTACGGATTAGGGTAGTAATAGTAGGATAATAGTAGCAGTTGCAACAAATTTTGGGAATACATATTAATTATCTTTAACCATCATAATACTACAGGGGACAGAACTGACCTTCACCTTCCATCTTCTTTATTAAGAAGATATAAATGTGTATATATAAAGTTCAAGTTAGAATAAAAACGTAAGTAAGGTTACAAATGAGCACAGGCCCATCTTCTGTTTTTGGTAGTAGCTAAGGTCTAAGGTACTGTAGATCTAAGGATCATGTCTGGTCTGCATTCTTGAAAGCAGTGCTTCAACATGGCTAGGCTAGCCTGTCACACTCCCACGAGCCTTTGTATGAAATAGCGCCCCCGTTCTCAGTTTCAGATGCACTTCCACATGCTGGGTGAACTTTGTTAGGGTCTCTGGGAAATATTTGTATCGGGTGCCCTTGTAATCTTTCCTTTTGTGCATGTGCATCTAAAAAGTTTCAGATGCACAATTTTAATATAACATCCTGTAAGGTTTTACACTTCTAACTATACATTTGAATATTTTCTTTGTCCTTGTTATTGATTTGCCACATGGTCTAGAAGATATAAATTGTCAACACAAATGCCAAAGTCTTTGTTCCTTTCAGTTTTGTATATATACAGTATATTAGGTTATTTCTAGCTGCATGTAATCATTTGTACATGTCTATATTTAATGCCATCTATCAAGGGTTTGCCTGGTCTTGAACTAAATATTTTTGAATTTCAGTGTTTGCTAATCTTATTTTTGTATTGTCTGCAAGATCTATCTTTTCTAAAGTCATTTTGAATATTACATGTGATATTATTTAGATATAGATGATTCTCTAGTTTAGTTCTAATAATTGTTTCCACAACCTTCCATGTAATTAAAGTAATTATTTGATGGGATGTGGGATTTTGTCATTCTTTTTATGGGCAGGCACAACAGTATATCGGCATTAACTACATTAGCTATTCCTGAGTGACTGCTGGAAGAGCTACTGTATGTCAATGGGTTACAGAAAACATCTCATAATATTAATTTCCTTCGCACTCATATAGCGCTTTTCTGTCAAAGCACTTTACAAGTAATAGGGACTCCCCTCCACCACCACCAGTGTGCAGCCCCCACTTGGATGATGACAGCAGCCCATACTGCGCTCACAGTACTCTCACCACACAGCAGCTATCAGTGGGGAGGAGAACAGAGTGATGAAGCCGGTTCATAGATGGGGATTATTAGGAGGCCACATTTGCTAAAAAGGCCAGGGAGAAATCTGACCAGGACACCTGAGTAACGTCCCTACTGTTTTCAAGAAACTCCCTGGGATTTGTAATGAGTACAGCGAGTCAGGACCTCGGTTTTACATCTTTTCTGAATGACAGTACCTTTTTTGCAGTATTGTGTCCCCGTTGCTATACTGGGGCATTATGACCCACAAAGACCACAGGGTGAGCACCTCCTACTTGCCCCTCTAACACCTCTTCCAGCAGCAACCTTAGTATTTCCCAGGAGGTCTCCCATCCAGGTACTGACCAGGCTCACACCTGCTGAGCTTCAGTGGGTTGCTAGCTGTGATATAGCAGCTGGCTTTATTTTGCCCAGTGCTTGCAAGGTCTTTCTGAGAAGAATTAGACCTGTACTTCAGTTTGTTTCCTAGGTGTTTGAACTTGTTATGAATGGAAATGGTAATGTTGATACTGAGTCATTTGTGCCTACCTAGATCACAACATCTAGGTTGTCATCTGTTTGAGCTAGGAGCCTGTTGATTCTCTGGACCATATAAGCCAATTCAGGTCCAGGGAGATGGCATAATGTCCACTTGAGGTCTCTGATGCATGTCTTGGTGTCATTCTTTAACAGTCTTTAACAACCCCTACTTCTCTTTTTGCATTTTTGGTAGTACTAGCAGAACTTGTAGTTGCGAACAGTGACTGAAATTTTAGGTCAGAGATGTAGGTGTCCTGGGAGCTGCTGACTTCAGCTTCCACATCCTGGCTGTCTGATTCTAGGTCCCGAAGAGGAGTAAATCTCTTTGGAGAGCTGAAATTATTCTGATGGAGCTGTTGAAATTACAGCTCTGCTCAGTCGGTTGCACTTTGTGTGTCAGACAGCCCAGGATGTGCACCTCCCTGAATGTAGAATGTAGGTTATTGTCAGTCCTTCAGTCTCTTGGAGCCCTTTGAGTTTTGGTAGTTACTTCTCTGGTGCATTAACCTTTTTTAGCTGGATCTGGATTTACTGTAGATGTAGTCCAACTGTTGCATTTCTTCCAGGATGCTCCATATTTCATGCAAGCTGCAGATCACCCATATAAAAACAGTTTTGAAAATTAAATGATGCATGTCTACTGTTGTGATCCTTATGTGTCAAAGTGTTTTTTTAGCAACATGAAACAACCCACACCCTTTTCTACAGCTGCTTAAATACAATCAGCCTTTCTGCCTTCAGTGATCACATTTTCAGCTTCTCCTGTGCCACTTTGACCTGTAAACTAGTCACTAACAGTCAAACTGTCTTGTACACACACCTCCCCTACAGTATTAAAACCCTTAATATAC